ATGGTTTCATCCTCTTTTTTTCTAGAAATATCCTCTAAAAATCTAAATTGTGCTGGAGGAATGTATTCATGAATCTTTGCTGAACTCTGTAATAGTTTTGGTTTTTTTTCTTTAATCATGAGCTCGTAGCTTTTTGCCTCTCAGAAGCTTTGAAATTTCCTGGAGTTTGTTGTCTTTGAGCTGAGGTGATTTTTGTGAAATTCTCATATAAGAGACTCTCAGAGGGAGAAGAGCTCTGACTAATTTGGTGTGGAACAAGACAGCTCAGAAAGCTTTGGGACAGTAAATAAAACATCAGACCAATGCAAACACAAATGATTTGGAAAATCAGATCCTCAAGGCATAAACTTAAGATTGTTACCTGCTTTGTTGCTCTGCTGAAGATAGTTCAAAACCAGGAGTTTGCAAATGAAACTTTAATTAGAAAATTTTAATGGCTATTTTCTTAAAGGAGGGTGTAACATGCTGTAAGGGCAGTACAAGAGCTGTTGGTTGAGGAACATAAAAGCACTCTCTTTGTTTTATTAATATTCTTTATTCATGAGTGCAACCCAATTATCTTTAGCATTTCTCACACGGTACCTTTAAGGTGCTGAATTTTAATAAGAAATTTCTTTCACTTTGTGGAGCAAAGGAACAATTCCTGATGTGGGCAGGTGAAAACAAGAGAAGCCACGGAGCAAGGGAAGGACTGTATCTGTGTCTGGGGAGGGATGTGGGCCTGGATGCAGAAATAAAGCAGAGATAAAGTGGAATATCAGAAAATGCTCCTGCAGTCTGTCTGGAATAAACTGAAACATCCTTGGATTCTCACAGAGGCTTCACTGCCCTGCAAATTCAGCATTAATCATTCCTCCTCTGCTTGAACTTCAGGCCACAGGAAAATTCTGTGTCAGTCCATTTGTTCTTACTGAGAATAGCCTCTGGAAAGCTGATGAAATTATTTTGGAGAAGCTGAAACAAAACCTGTTGGCTCCTCTGACTGGTTAATATCTGGCTGAACTGAATCTGAACTGGAAAGAAAGAAATTTTGGAAGATATTACGACGTAATTAGATGCATGTCTGGAGTCCTATGCTAATATATTAAGTCCTAAATGACTTTTTAAAACAGAATTTGCTGGGTGTGAAGCAGTAGAGCTTTTCATTAAAATTGGAATTGCTGTTTCAGGATGGTTATGTTTTATTACTGATAGTATGACAGAATGTGACTTCCAGAGGAGAAACACCTGAAGGGTTTTCTACAGCCCTTCCATTTTAGGTATCTGCTTGGTTTTACAGCTGCTGTAGTTATGGCAGGAATTGAGTAGAAAATAATGAAATCTGAGTTAGATTTTGATCCCTCTTGCTGGATCTGCTGGAATAATCTGCTAAAATGCTCCTTAAGCACTTTTGCTTAGTGCTGATAATCCAGGCTGGTTTTTGTGTGAGTTCTTGTGATGCTGTTCTGGTTGCAGGTCTTTGTTAGAGTGCACGAGCTTTGGCTCTTCCCCCTCTGTGAGCATCTCCCTGGCACAAGGGAACTACAGGAACACCAGATTTTGGGGAAAATAAGTTTTTTGAGAGCTGTTTTCTACCAGGAATGAAATGGTAAAGACAGGAGTGCAGGGGGAGGGGAAACACCTCGGTTCTTTCTCTTCATCTGTTTCTTGTGAGCATGGTTTCAGCCATCCAGGAAAAAAACAGAGTAACCCAGAAAAACAGAGTAATTAGGTTTCATCCTAATACTGCAAATTAAGAACTGGAGCTTGCCCAGCAGATCTGCAACCTGTTCCTCTGGGCTGGGACTCAGGGAAGGGGTGAGAGCCTCATTGCTACCAAAACCAAAAGTTCACAGGAAGGAATTCAATACTTTCACTAAAATGTGCTGGAATATCTTCATTTTACCCTGCAGAAACCTGACTGCATTTAGGAAACATGACTTTTGTATCAGCCTTTTATCAGTTTTAACTTCAACATGTGGCTAATAATTTATTACTTGTAGAAGTAAAAACTGGGGATGTGCTGTACTTCTTCCTCTCCTTGACCTTCTAGGTTTTCATCATTATTTATAAATCACTGCAATGTATTAAAATAATTTTCTGAACAAAAAAAATTAAAAAAATGAGGGATAAAATCTTTCATGGGGAAAAACACCAGAAGGGACATGCTGAGTGTAATTTCTCCCGGCAGATGTGCTTAATTGATCAAAATAACTTCACAACAGTGTTTGGGTGTGTTTGAAATAAAATTGTTGACCAGTGCAAGTTTTAAATAGTTCTGCTATAATTAATGCATGTCCACTCCCTGAATTCTTTTGCAAGTTGCTCCTAAAATAAAACACTGTTCCCTCAATGAATTTGTGACTAAATCAACCTGGTAAGTTTATGTTAGTGGCTGGATGCAAAGACGGGTGAAAAGCAAATTTCAGGAGTTCTAATAATAGGCTGAAATAATAAAATATTGAGCTTATGAAATTAAAGGAAGTTAATTAGTGAGATAGTAACATATCCACCTTATGTAATGCTTCTCTACCAGAGGAACTGGTGAAAGTCACAGGGGAGAAACAGCTGGAGGACAGCTGGGAGGTACCAGGGCTGCAGAGAGACCTGGAACAACCTGCAGAACCCCTGAGGAAACCAGAGTTAGGCCAGGACAAAGGTCTCGACCCCTCGGTGGGATTTCAACACCACAGAAAATTTGCATTTAGCCCCTGATCAAAAGCCATTCTCTGTGTTTTGTGTCCAGGAGGGTCCTGTGTTGTGTTCTCACAGACTCCTGCAGGCTGGTGTCCACAGCTGGGCTGCAGAGCAGGATATATTCCTGATTTCCCCCAAAAAGCAGCGGGGTGGGGGTTTCTGCAGGTTCCCACAACAACAGGAGGTGCTGCTGTGCCAGGGGAGCAATAAGAAGCCTCCAAAGCCATGTAATGCCTTGGTGAGGGCTGCACAATGTGGTTCCCCTGGGTGGTGGGTGCTGCTCCCCTGCTGTTTCTAGGATTTAGATCCAGGGAAAAGGCTTTGAAGTCAGAGAATCTGGGTGCCAGGAAGCTGAACTGCTCTTTTAATTAAAACTGGTTAGGAAATGATACGATCTTGGCAACAACACTATCTGCTAATTGTAACTGCTTGTTCTGAATTTGTTACTCAGTTGAGTTACACCAGCACTAAATGTTCCTCCTGACATATTTTCCCTCCCCTGGAACCACAATGAATCACTCAGGATTGTTTTCTGTGAGAGCTGGCGCAGCCCAGGCCCTGCTATCAGGGGAGATTTAAGATAAAATCTGAAATACGAGTGATGGTCCAAATTCTGCTGGAAGTGCAAGCCCTCACTTCCCTGTCAAGCAGTGGTGCTTTGTTTGTTTGGTTGAACTCTGTGATTTGGCACATCCTTGGGCTGTGTTTTGGAGCTTACATGGGGTTAAACACTATATATATTTTTATATATATATTTAATATATAAATATATTAAACTGAGTCAGGGTTTGGATTTCTGTCAGTGCCCAGTCCCACCTACACAACAGAACCTGTTGGATGTGGAGCTGTTACAAGCACTTGAGCAGTAAAAACCCCAATATTTCACCAGATATCTACATTTTTAGAGCCATATGGCTGGGCTAATTTTGTGTGCAATCATTTTGAACCGATTCCTGAGCTAATAAGGATATTGTTACTTGGAAAAAAACAAATTATCTGCCCTACCTGATTGTTTATATCTCCACAGTGTGTGTCAGTGGGAGAAGTGTTTTTTTTAAAAAGCTGCAGCAATTCTGCATCAGGATTTGTGTCCAGCAGCCTCCAGTCAGCTTGAGCAAGCACTGGATTTGGCACAGACCAGAGGGGCAGAATCTCAGAGAAATGAAGGTGGCATCAGCATGCACAGGACCCTGGAGAGGAATGGTTCATATTGCAGACCAGGATTTTGTCTGATTTATCATCTCTCTGGGCCTACTGTAGAGAATTACTATAAGAAAGAAAAAAAAAGAAATAAAAAAAGAAAAAGCTGATTGTGAAAAATAAAAATTCAGATGGACCTGTGCATAAACCAGCAGCAATTGCACATTAGATGGGGCAGATGTAAATGCCTGTCATCTAAAGTCAGCTTGTTCCTCTTGTGTTGGAACATCCCCATGAATAATCTGCTGCAGTTCCTCTGGTTTGAATCATAAGGTCAATAGCAAGATAAGCCCAAGAGATTAATTCCAGTCACGTCATCCCAATTGTGCCAAAAACTGTGCTTTTCTCTACTTCAGCTGTGCAGGAGGGAGGGGAGCAGCTCAGCCCCAAGGCTCCCAAATGCCTGCAGGAAGCTGCAGGTGACTGGCTTTGGGTGTCCAGGTGGGAGATGGGGTTTGGAAGCGTCCCCAGGCTGGGCAGGGGTGGTGCCTGCCAAAATCTGGCCCTGGTGAGAGGTCATTCACTGAGCTTGGCCCCATCACACAGACATGGGGACCTTGGCAAGAGCTAAGAAATGGAGTAATGAAAGCTGGAAATCTGATTAAAAACTAATTTAGGCCTTGATTAATCTCAGTGCTTTAATACATACCCAAAATTGAGCGTGTCAGAGCCCTGTGGGTGTCAAGGGGGCTCTCAGTGGCTGACATGGGCCCTGAACACACAGGTCTGTGCACACCTGTGGCTTGTATGGAGCTCACTGGCCACATTCACACCATCTAAAGGGTCAAATTGTACAAAACCATCCAGTCTACCCTTAAAAGAGCATTGCTGACCTCTGCAAAGCCCTGCTGCTTCCTTCTGGCTGTGCATGGGTTTCCCAAAGGGGAATCTTCCACTCCCATCAGAAAATCACTCCCATTGCCTCTGTGGCAATCATTCCCCTCATTCTTTACTATTTATACCTTTGGATACTTCTGAGCTACCATCACATTTAAAATAAGTCTATTTTTTATCTTTCTTCCAGAGAAACCATCACCATTCAACAAAAAAAATATAACACCAAGGCTTTTTAATATGATGAGTAAGCTTGGGCTTTTTTTATTCCTCATTGTTATTTTAAATAGTTATATGAAAAAGAAATTTGAAGACTTTTGCTGTCTAGTATGATATGTTTAGTCTGCAGACCACAACTGCCTTTCAAGCAAATGCTCTTGCAAACAGTATGTGTATTACACAAAGCAGTGCAATTTGGTGGGTACAGGTTGATCGTCTGGCTACAGGCAAACTTTGAAAGCTGTCACATACAGCGGTTTTAAGCTTGTTACTGGCCTTAAATACAGAATTTGGATTTGTATCTGTATGCCTGGTGGATGAGCTGTGGATACACTGGTGTGTAGCACTGAAAAAACGTGTCCTAACGCCTGGCTCAGCATACTCACTGTGAGAGCACTGGGAACTCAAAGGCAAATGGAATAAAGAGTGTGTTTGTACCAGCAGAAGCTGGTTTGTTTGTTTGTTACTCCTTCACTACTAGGTATTCAGCAAGATGCATCAGCGGCAGAGACAAAGTTTATTCTGAGTAGTCATAGAGAAGAATGAGCATTTATCATGGAATAAACTCTTGTTTACATTCTCCCAGCCTCCAGCTCCACGGGGATTTTTTGGAGCTGGCTCTGTTGGGTTGGCTGCTCCTTATACCTATGCCAGGGAGAGGACAGCACTGTAACCTGTGTTGTTGCTTTGCTTCGTGTATTTTGCTGATGCACACATGTGCACATTTCTGTGGTTGTTTTTGGGAATGCCCCAGGCCAGGCTCAGTTCCCTGTGGGGATGTGTTTGATGGGGGACACCAGGCTCAGTTCCCTGTGGGGATGTGTTTGATGGGGGACACCAGGCTCAGTTCCCTGTGGGGATGTGTTTGATGGGGGACACCTGGCCATCCAGGATCAGGCTGTCAGTCTCGTTGAAGGTGTCGCTCTCCCCGGAGCGATTGGCGCTCTTCGCTCGGCTCAGCCGCGACTGCAGCCGCTCGTGCTCCTTGCGCAGCTCGGAGTAGGAGTGGGAGAAGGTGTGGAATATCGAGGTTGCGGGGAAGGACATGATGAGGATCCCGCTGAGGATGCTGCTGAGAGCCACCATCTGGCCCGGCACGCTCCGCGGCACCATGTCCCCGTAGCCCACGGTGGTCATGGAGATGATGGCCCACCAGTAGGAGGCGGGGATGCTGGTGAACTCCAGCACCCTGCCCGACTCGTTCTCGGCCAGGTACACCAGCGGGGAGAAGAGGGTGACGGCCACGCACAGGAAGAGCAGCAGCAGCCCGAATTCCCGCGTGCACTTGCGCACGGTGAGCCCCAGCGTCTGCAGCCCCAGGGAGTGGCGGGCAAGGCGCATGACGTACAGGATCCTCAAGGCACGTAAAACCCGTAGCACCAAGCCCACCTTCTCCAGGTAGGTGTTGCTGCTCGGCCTGTCCTCCTCCTCGCTGGAGTCATCCTCGGAGAAGATGAGGGAGACGTAGTAGGGGGAAATGGCCATGAAGTCAATGATGTTCAGGGGTCCTTTGAAGAACTGACACTTGCTCCTGGCCTGGATGAACCGCAGGCAGAACTCCAGGGAGAACCAAGCCACGCAGATGGTCTCGATGACGAAGATGTAATAGCACTTCTGGGAACACTCACCCTGGCACAAGACAGAGAGGGAAATGCACAAAAGAACAGTCTGTCAACCGGCATCCAAAGAGAGAGAAGCAATATGGATCTGCCTGAGTCACTGGTACCAGAGATAAACAAACCCCAGCTCACAGGTAGCGTGGCAGCTGTCCTTGAATTGTGCACAGAGAATATTGAGCTCATGAAAGAGCTGAACAAACAGATCTACCTGCCTGCCTCATTTTACTGTGCTGCTTCTTGCAAACTACTTGAATGAAACCCATCCATGTTTAAAGTCCTGGCATGCAGGCTGTAAGTCCTGAATAATTCCCACTTTCTGCTGCACTTGGGAGTAACAAGTCTTTTTGTGTTATAGAATTGGCCAGTAGAGGTTCCCCTTCAGGAGTGTGTTTTACCCTGCCCAGCCCTCAGAACAATTTAGCTCTGTAGCAGCGTTTGGGGATTTTTCCTTTCTGCACAGTAAGCTGTCGAGTCTGTATTTTACCCCTAAAATGAAACACCACAAAAGCTAATGAAGTCCTGGCCCTGCACGCAGGGTCAGGCTGTGGCTCCATTTGCAGTCTGTGCTGGAGTGCATTGATGTTTGCAGAGCTGCTGACTGGGCTTGATGAGATTGCCTGCAATCAGCAGTTGTGCTGTGCAGTGCTCACTCTTTCTGAGCCCTGAATTATCGTTCAGCACAGCCTGGACTCTGAGCAGACCTGCCTCTGGCCACTCCAATGATGTGGCCTCTCAATTATTCATTGCTCCCATCAAGATTTACTTAATTTTTTGTTAGCGGGGCTGAATTTCCAGTACATCTGTTATTTATTTGCCTGTAGATGTTTTCAGGTGACATTGCTCTCAGATCATTGTGAGGTTTTCCCTGTTCCTTCCTTAGAAAATAGAAGAAAAGAAATTCTGTTTGCTGGAAGGTTTAACCATGAAGATGTAAGGTGTCTTTTGAACTGAGTGTGAAATTTCAAGATGTAGCAATGCAGAGACAGTTTGGGAGATTTTTAATTCTTGCCACCCTCAGTGACCTCAGTATTCCCTATGGAAATTCATATTTACTTAGTGAAGGCAATTTATGCTGTCAGCATAATGAGAACATGCTCAATGACTTCACATTGGGAGATGGATGTAATCCCAAGAGTCTGTATGTGAATGTTTTATATATTAGGAACATTTGTATATATTATGGAATGCACCTGACTTGATTTCTATAGAACATCTCTCTCTAATGTCAGTTTCCTCAAACATTCTTCATCCTTTTGAATATCCTGCTCAAAAGCAGCCAATATTGAAATAAGGGGGGGTGGGTAAGGAAATTTCAAGCACCAAAGCAAATTTCTGTTTCTCCCAGTAGTTTTGAGGATTTTTACACCCCAGTGTTTTATGTTGCTCTCAGAACTGCTGTCCAAAGAACAGGCAGAACACACTGACTTCAAATCTCTGTTCTCAACAAAATGCTGATGCCTCTGTGTCAGTGGGAGATTGCAAATCTATTTTGCCACCACGTTCCCATTAGTTACTTGCAGAATGGCCCAAATACCCTGACTCATGAAAGGCTTTTTTTGCCCAAATGTCCAATAAATAAATCTCTGTTCCACAACAACTTTCATACAATTCCTCTTTCTGAACAAACCAGACACATTTGGATATTCAAGTGTTCAGCACCTGCCAACACAAACCACAACAAACTCCCTCCCTTCACCTCACCATGAACTAGAGTAAAATTCTGGGGTTTTATTTCCAGATCTTGGAGTCAAATTTTCACTGAGCTTTTCCTCCTCCTGCTGCAGTTTTGCTCATGGTGGAGTGGGAGCTCTAAAAGCTCCAAGCTGGAATGGTGCTGACCTTGAGCAAGAGGGGAAGATGAGATTTTATTTATAACTGACCACAGCATGTTTTGGAAGGGCTTTTTCAACAAATCTATCTGACATCAATCTGTACTCAACCTGCCACTGACTTTGACAGGAGAACAGGCCCAGCAGTGAGTATGTAACTCTTTATACTTTATTCATCCTGCAGATTTACTTTTCAACAATGCAAGAATTTATCAGGATTTATGGAACTTGCCTCCGGCAGAAATTCTACAACCTGTGATATAAATGTAATAAAATGAGTGCCTGATATTGATCTTCTGTATGAAATGAGCATTTGGCTCAGCAATGAATGAAACAATATTTTGTGTGTAAAAAGATATATATTAAGCATGGTGCCTGAAATATTAAGTGGTTTCTTAGATTTATAAATTACCTCAAAGAAGCAAAGGAGTTGTTTTAAACTACTCTACCACCAGAGAGAGTCAAAAAGTCAAGCTTCCTTTGATTATCCCCTTCTGGCGTATAAGAGAGTGACTTATTTTCCATTTCTCTTATGTGCTGGAGTTTATGGCGTTACAGTGAGATTGCTTATTTTAGGATATTTCTGTTAAATTCTCTTTAAATAGGAAAAAAACCCAAAAAATTAGGTTCCTAATAAAAGAGAAGAACAGCAGTACTGAGTCCAGTTAACCCAGTTCCCTCAACAGCCAGAGGAAACCAAGGCAACTCTCCTGGCTTCTGTTTTCCACTCACAGAATCCCAGAATGGTTTGGGTAGAAGGGACCTTAAAAGAGCAGGTTGCTCCAGCCTGGCCTTGGATGCTTCCAGGGATGGGGCAGCAAAAAAGAAATTTATTCACTAGTTGTGAATTCCAGCTAAATGGAATGTGCTTGAGATACATGCCACTCACAAGATAAAAAGAGATAAATTTCCCAGCCTCTTAGTTTGCCAGGGAACATTAATTAAAATGCAATGATGTCTAGGATAACAAACAAAATCAGATCCCAGAGTTCTGCAGCACTAGCCTAACATACAACAGGCATAAATCTCATCTAGTGAAAATAATACCTTTTCATGCATCAATAATTTTAGTTATGCCCAGGGAGACTGAATCAGAATTTCCCCTGAAGAATATATCTCTCATCTATCCATGCTGGTTTCCAGATGCTGCTCGCTCTTTTTATGTGTTCTAGACAAAGGAAAAGTTTGTTGTTATTATTGAATAACTGTATGACACCACCAAGAAACTGCTCTTGTTCCTTCAGGGTCTGCTCTGTGCTGATCATTTGTGTCCCACCTGCCTGCACTCTTTAATTCACAATTAAAATATGCTTTGGAAAACTTGTTCTGAATCATTACTTGATCCACCAATGAGTTTTCTACTGCCAGAGATTTACCCCAATAACTTTTGCAGGGGGTATTTACCCTTTATTCCCTCTTAATCTGAAGTACAGTGAGGAAAGAAATCCTGTTATTCCCATTATGTTGGGAGAGCAGTGCTGCAGCTGTGTGAGGATAAAATTGGATAAGTACCAACTTTCTGCCCTGGCTGTGATTGACTCTAAATGGAAGTTTATTGGCAGCAATCTGAGCCTGTTTTCTGTGGTGTGTAATTTGGGATTTCCCACAATCTATAAACAGGGTGGAGTCTGAGAGGTAAAACAAGCAAAACCACAGCATTTCTTCCTGTGCTTGCCAGGGAGCTCAGCTCAGGATGGTGTCAGTGGTTCCGAGTGTTTCCTGTGTCAAACCATCTATCCCCAAATTAAATAGCAAGAGTTCCTCCAATGCTTGTAGAACACTTTGCTAATAAGCACAGCTTGATCAGTATATCTGGATTATTTCAGAATCATGTCATATTTCCAGAGCCTTAGAGGGAAAATCAATGTGGACCTCAGCACAGGGCTTATATGTTGCTTAGACAGCACACTCGTGAGAAAGAAATCTCGTGTTATTTATGAAGCCAAGCTGATAAAAGTCCTTGAGCCCAGCTAGAAGTCATGGCTGAACCCCTTCATGCAAACACTGTTATTCCCAGGGCATGTTGATGGGAACCAGCGGGCTCATCATCATAAAACAAAGGAGCAAGGGGCTGAGAGGATCTGAGCCCTGCTCCCAGGAGGCGACTGCTCCCGAGGAAAGGCTCTCCTGGTGCTCAGTGACCCACTCCTAATGGAGCCAGACCCAGGCAAGGAGCTCAAAGAGCACATTCCCCGTCCTACTGGATCTAGAGGAGTTTCCCTGAGCACAGGACGTGCACCTCTTGTCGCTCTGCAGTGGAAGGACAGGCTGCCAGGATGTCACCTGGCTCTGTGGCTGCTGCAAGGTCATGGTTCTCTTCTGCTGCATTTGTCCTGGCAGGGGCAGGTTCTGTCTGGCACTGCCAGGCTGCTGCTCAGATCCTTCCTGTGATGCACACACTGCTCTGTGGGCCATGTCCATGGGAGTGGCAGCAGATGGGCTCAGCCTGTCCTGTGCCTCCCGACCTGCCTTCTGCCAGCACTTATCCCAGCCAGACTGCTCTTCCTGCAGCCTGGCCCTGTGGCCAAACTCAGCCAGCCCTCCAGGTGCAGGGTTCAGAAGTAAAACCAGCAGGAATTTCCCTCTCCAAGCCCAAGGCTGCCATTTCCTGGGGACTCTTTTCCAGCCTTTTGAGCTTCCCAGTCGCACCTGGGCAGGGAATCCTGGTGTGGAGCTTCTCCCTGAGCAATTCCCTCCGTGTGAGAAATCCCAACTAATGGCATGGTGAAAAACAACCTGTGGTCTGCCACAGACCCAAGGCTGTGGGAATAGAGGCTGCAAGTCTGGAGAAGGGTTAGGAAGGAGCAGAGGCAGAGCAAGACCTGTGTGTAGGGAACAGAGCAACCCAGCTGGCTCCAAGCTGTTCTCATCCCGCTGGCAGCAGGAGATGAGCAGATACAGGGCAGAAATCCCTTCTGGCTGTGAAGAGAAGGCTTGGTTAGGAAATGTGGTGCCAATCCGTGTTCCCTGCATACCTGAGCTCCAGGATCCAGCTGCAGTGCTGCAGGTACTGCTGAATCACTGCGGCCGCATTGACGCTGGGATTTGAATAATTAAACCACGCTCTGCTGAATCAAATGATGGGGAGGGAGAGCTTGGAAACTCTGTGTTATGGATCACATCAGCACTTGGATTTATGGTTTCAGCCTGATGCAGTAAAATCAGAAGGTTACAGCTGAGA